CAACCATCATGGTTTAGTCAGGTATGCAGTTAAAGTTTCATAAATAATGACACACCGGACAGACGCCTTTAATTGAGCTGACAAGAAAATTTAAATTCTTCATTACCCTGAAGTCATCTAGGGGGAAACAACCTTTAACTACTCAGGCAATCACAGTATGAATGTCGTCTGGCCAATCCCCAGCCAGCTCTGGGGCTCTGATTGGTTTTCCAGAAGGATGTGGGACTCACAGCTGTGGCAGCTGCTTAAAACAAAGTGACAATTTTTAATGGGGTTTCAAACCTCACCAAGTCACTGCACCCTGCCAAGCCCCAAGTGATGGCATCTGGCCAAACCCCAGTTTCAGGACATGGAGGAGTGAGCTTGTTCTCTCAGCTCACTGCCATTAGGAGGCCTGGATGCAGTCAACCATTTTCTAGAGTAGCTGCATTTCTCATCAGGAGGAGCCAGAGCTTTTTATATGTGACATACTGTACATACATATACAAACTCATACTCTGCTTTTAAAATCACCTTTGTAAGGCAAACCTTCTCCTGACAATCAATGGCATTTGACAATCCTGTAAAAGCTAAACCTGAAAGAGCTTTGTGAGATCTGGGCAAAGGTGTTTTCATGGTGATAAAATCCAAATCAAAAACATTCTCTGGAAATTTTTGTACGTGTCTTGAGTGTTATGTGTGCAATATCTCTTTTGACTGTCATTATAGTGTGCTGTAGGGATTATTTTTTGTAGGCCAACTCAGAAGTTAGCATCCCCCTGGTTCCCTTGACAAAAAGCCAATGGGATTTTTTTTTTCATAGGCTTTTGGATTATTGCAGAAAATAAGATCTGTCACAAACAATAGTTTATGACACTTATATATTTTGTTCAGACAGATAATCATCACAGGTGAACAGCACCTTTATGATTTTTAAAGCCCAAATGCAATCACCAGAAGTAGCTATTGTTAGGCTATAAACAAACTACACCACATTCCCATGACTTCAACGTCAGCGTGTAATTTGTTTCAGCTCGCTTACCTCTTCTACAAAAACCTTTCCTCTCAGCGTGACCTGATCTAGTGATCAAGGCTGTGTCAGTTACAATAGTTTGTAAGTGTACGAGTTTAAACATAACGAGACTGTATAAAGTCGGACTAGTGAGTACATGAGTCTCTGTGTTCTCTGTGATGATGCTTAATATCCCCATCAGCCTCTGTACTCTGTTAGCCACTTGTTAGCAGCTGCCTTTTTTTAAGACACATAAAAGCATAAAAAAATCACAAGTCGGGTATTTACTGACTTACTTTATATCATAGAACAAAATGTGAAAATGTATTGGCCTGGTGTGAACCACAGACCAAAAACCCATTGACTTCAAAAGTGCAAACATGCTCACTCAATTCCGGGTTTTAGGACTTCACTCTATTACAGTCAGTTCAGCCTACACTCTCTGATCAAAGGCAGCTGAAATAGATGTTCAGTCACATACACACACAAGGCAAGAGAGGATAAGTCAGAAACTAACAGGAAATGCAATTACTGTCTGTCTGGGCACAGCACTCCTCAACAGTATGGCCAATTTCACAGCAATTTTAGTGAGTCAACAGGTCCTAAGTAATCATAATGAGCACCTTAATGTTTTCGCAGCGAATAGCGCAGCCCTTTGTGGTTTTATTCCTTGGCCATTTGATCCGTCTAATCATCTACAAGCTATTTAAACTGTGCACAGGATCTGCAGCTCATACAAGTCCCCAGAGGAGGCCCACTGCTTCCATGTTTGTGGAACACTGTCATTTAAACACTGTGTCAACAGGTATCAGGTTCCTCATATGACTTCTCTTTTGCTTCATGGCTGTCAGCATATAGTAGAAGTGGACCACTGTGCTCACAGTGTGCTGTCAGACCCTCAGGTGAGTACTGAAGATCTTTTATGCTGCATGTCATTATTGCTCTTTTCAAATTGTGTCTGACAGGTTAGAGTCAAACCTTTGTGGGTGACTATGCTGAAAATAACACAAATAAAAGCCTTATAATGAACGGCTGCAGGGCAGATACTGTACCTCTTAAGTGTTGGCTGTCCTATCACTTGATCAAACAGCCATCCACAGAAAATGAAATAGGATCTGACATCAATGACTTAAGGGATTTCTTATAAGATCCTAATACAGCTGCTAGTTCTTTGTTATAAGTTTCCCAAACATAAATGCTGGACAAAAAATGCCTGTAGCAAGAAACACATACAGTACTTTCTTATTCCTTGTAACATCTGGCCCATGCTATTTTAGCCATGGTAGCAGAATGGCTTCAGGGGTGAAAATCCCGATCTGTTGTTTGGATCAACACTTTGCTCCAGACTGAAATGTCTCAACTTGAATACATTGCCTTGAAATTATGTACAGACATTCATGGAACCTCACTGACTTCGATGATCTCCTGAGCTTTCCTCTAGTGCCACGATCACATTTGTGGAGTAAAATGTCTCAGTAAATATTGTATAAATACTGCAGACATGAACCTTCGTACAGACACTCTTGTTCATGTCAGTGATTCTCTTCTAGCACCATAATCTGGTCAAAATTCTGATTTGCTTGATGCTTTGTTTTATGTCTAATACCAACAACACTTCAGTGGCTAGTATGACGCTTGGTGAGGAGCATGACCAGGGGATGAGGGAGATTACCAGGAGTGGTTGTCATGTATCTGTGCTCATACATGACATGTTGGAGTCGTGATGATGGTGGTCAGCGGTTTGAGGGAGGCTTCTGAGGAATCCACACTGCTCCAGGCATAGTGGATCCCCCGTAGAGAAGCAAGATTGTAGTGGAAGAGAGCTGGAGAATAGATGTCAGGGAGGGAGGGCTTTGTGAAGAAACAAAAGCGACTGGGACAGGAATGTGGAAGTATTTGTATGCAATTGGCTGGAAGGTGTGTATGTTAGGGGCACAGACTGCCCTTGAATCTCTGATTAATAATCAACACTAACAACATTTCAAGCAACTTGTACCAGCTTGCACATATTAGCATTTTAACAAACTAAACTAGCATGTTGATTATACCCCATTAATACAAGAGGACTTACAGGGATAAATTGAATACTTCACTTGCACATGTATACATACTGGTATGAAGCACTTGCACATATAGTCTATCCATACTGTCATGCATATACATACATCCACAGTCTTGCATGTATATGAACGCGCGAATAAATTTAAGTGTGAGTGAGAATGTGTGTAACATACTTGGCCAATAAGGGTGATTATCCTTATTATGTGCAAGCGAAGTATCAATTTATGCCTGTGTGGCTTCTCGTACATCTGTAGTGTTGTCTCACATTCAAAAATAAAAATAAAATAAATGAAAAAGTACAATTCTTATGGAAACAGACTGACAGAGACAGCTGCTGGCAGTAGCAGCTGACACAGAACGGCACTGAAGTAACACACATATGTTTGCAGACACACACAAGCAGTGCCTGTGAGTCCAGGTTGTCTGTGCATACCTCTGTCAGTGCCAAAGTGATTAAACAAATACCCCCTTTGTGCACGGCAGCCTTGATTAAGCTGAGTTGTATGTAGCCCCTCTGAAAAAGAAATACAGGAAAGTGCCTTTGGTGGTGCCAAAATTCACTTGCCCTGTTAAAACATCGCTCCAGTCAAAGTTGTTTTTACTCTCACATGGAAACTAAATTTATCATGAATCTCCTGAGCATTCAGTTTTTTTTCTTTTAAACAGAATGAGTGTGATTATTTATGTGAAAAATAAATATTGAAACTTTATCTGCATTAGTGGTCACAGAATGCTGCCACCAATAAATTTCAACAGAGGTTTATTTACAGTGCCACAGCAGGAGTTGTTGTGGTTTACTTAATAGACTGTGGGATTAACCTGATGCCACAACTAACACTGGTGATTAGGAAGTAACAAATTAGAGAACTAGGCTATTCTTTGGACTATCATAGTCACCATATTATTCTTCATTCATGCAATTATGATTTATTATTTGAATAAGAGGATATGGGTATATACCAAGTGAGGTCCACAGATGAACTAACAGTCCTTTATATGATTTCTACCGTTTTCTTTGTCAGACTCATTTGGCTGACTGAAAAAGTAACACTTTTGGCCCAGCATTAAATCTATATTTCCCTTTAATCTGTATAAGTCATCGGTATCAAAACTGCACATGATCATATGCTGAGTACAAGGAATAAATGAGATGAACAATCCTGCTCTCTAGTGGTGATATTCTGACTTGCAACATTTTAGTGATAAATGATTTCTGTTCACCGTTCTTTCTATGTGGCTCTGAAATGATTCGTCAATTAGTAAATCTGACAGATAATCTGACCATTTTGATTATATTGACAAGAGATTATATGTTTTAAAGCGAAACTGCCAGGGATTCCACTGTTTTGTGTACTTTGTGTACTATGACAGTGTATTTTGAGGGTTTTCAGCTCAGGTGAGATCTTTAATGAAAATGTTGTCACCACCATATCAATGAAAAGGATGTCACCATAAGCTCTGTGGAAATGAAAAGGATGTTTTTCATTGTTTTGGGACATTTTATAGACATCATGACAATGCATTCTGCACGTGTTACAACAGCGTGGCTTCGTAGTAAAAGAGTATAGGTACTAGACTGGCCTGCCTACAGTCCAGACCTGTCTCCCATTGAAAATGTGTGGCACATTATGAAGTGCAAAATACGACAACGCAGACCCTGGACTGTGGAGCAACTGAAGTCGTACATCAAGCAATAATGGGAAAAAATTCCACCTACAAAGCTTCAACAATTAGTGTCCTCAGTTCCCAAACACTTAAGTGTTGTTAAAAGGAAAGTTGATGTAACACAGTAGTAAAAAAATCCCCCTGTCTCAGCTCTTTTGGAACGAGTTGCAGGCATCAAGTTCAAAATGAGTGAATATTTGCAAAAAAACAAAGTTTATCAGTTTGAACATTAAATATCTTGTCTTTGTGGTGTATTCAATTAAATATGGGTCAAAAAGGATTTGCAAGTCATTGTATTCTGTTTTTATTTACATTTTACACAATGTCCCAACTTCATTGGAATTGGGGTTTGTATATTCTGGAATTTCATGGATGTTTACAGGCTATTTTGAGCCCTGTCACCAAAGCAGTTCACACATAAGCCTTCTGCACAGAGGGAAATATTTCAATCACCATTTATCCAACAGAACAGAACAAACTGTGTGATTATATGTGTATTTCTTTAGATTTTGAACAATGAACAAACACTACTGTAAGTTGTGGTACTTGATGATTTGTTTTTGTTCTTTGTAACATTCCTGGGCTAAAAGTGGGAACATGTGAAGATACTATTGATTTAAATCAAATCTGATACACAGAGATTGCAATTTTATTAGAATCACAACTCCCCAACAGTTTGTATTGATCTGTAGGACCTGCTGTGAATTCACAGTGGGGAACGATGTCTGGTTTTCACAGCCTCAAGCTATAAAACAAGCTGATTCTGTGCACGTGTAACATTGTTGTTGACAGCATGAGTAACAAGTTCTTGTTGAAGTGTTTCTTTAAGAGTTTACATAGCCTGCCTGATATTTTCCAGACTCTTCTCAATGTTGTCAATAACCTCCACCGCAGCCTGTGGGATTCTGGTTCCTGGGCCGAAGATGGCGCACACACCGCTTTGGTACAAGAACTCATAGTCCTGCATACACACACAAAGGTGGAACACAGTTTGGATGAACCACAGCTACTGTAAAGGCTAACAGGCTGAACTTGCCTGGGAGGGATGTAGTGGAATTTTCCATTTTCTACTGACCACTTAATGCTGCTACCGTGAGGCTCAGCTTCTAAAAACGCACAGCTAGAGGCGCACGGTGTTGTGGCATTATCAACATGACTACTAGCTCAGGGTGGGAAATGTTGTAATCCAAAATGATACCAGAAACTCACACGGCCTTTCCAAGGCTCATTTGAAGATCAAATTATCTGGGACCAAAATGTTGCACACATACATCTAACTTAAAATATTAGCTTTCTAAATACAGATAAAAATGTACGACTGCGCTGCATCTGTGTCCACACCTGCAGCGAAAGTCAAGCAGGATGAAGCTACCTCACACTAACAGTATGCACACAGTCATTAGTTCAATTCAAGCATGCAAAAGTCAAATCTGTTATAACAATTCCAACGACTGTGCTGTTGCTGTGGACTGTAATGAGGGCCAGAGGTTACCTGTGGTGGGATTACACCGCCGCAGATGACGAGGATATCTGGCCTGTTGAGCTTCCGTAGCTCCTTGATGAGTTCTGGGACCAGGGTCTTGTGTCCTGCGGCAAGGGTGCTGACCCCAACACAGTGTACGTCTGCATCCACTGCCTGCTGGGCGACCTCAAGGGGCGTCTGCCCGCCCCAAAAGTCAGTAATGAAAAAACATCACCACAAAGCGCAAAACAGAGGAAAATCTGATCTTCTCTGTTTGGCTTTCACTGCTCAATTTGAAACAATCCTGTTAATTAAGCTACCAATGAATGCTGTAAATAGCACAAATTACATATTTATAGAGGCTTTTGGATTATGTAGCAGGTTCAGCACAAAATAGTTACTTAATTACTTGCAGGCTTCAGTAACGTTGATCAGTTACAAGTTGCTTACATCAAACAGTCTACTCATTTGTTAATGTAAATAGTCACCATCCCTTATGCCAAAATTTGGTACGCTGGATGTCCCTGGGGTCTGTTTTCAAAAGCTGCATGTGTTTTTCCTTTATTCCGTCCATAGCGGAGGGTCACAGATTCACATGAAGGTCTTTGAAAAACACACTCAGCTGGCAGCTTATTAGTTACACCCAGTCCTGCAAGACACAGTGTTCATGTAATTCTACCTAGAGTTTACCTTTCAAGAAAGAGGTTTTCACACAAACAGCTTGAAAAAAATACCTTATGCAGTTAGACAGCTTAGGTCAATTCCTAAACAATGACTGTAAACACCTTAAAATTTCACAATGTAGTTTTTATAAAAGGTTAGAAAACCGAAGTGATTCAAATGTTGTTAGCTGTAGCCTTGTGATTGTGATATACTTAGAGACTTAGGGATGCCCTGGTTTTGACCTTGTTCCTTCTTACAGTGTTGTACCAAACATCCAGACTGTCAGATGCTCTGCTCAAGTCAGGTGCACTGGAAGCTACAAATACATGAGCTTATACAGACAGTTGTAAGGCAGATAAACTGCATGTTGACTGTTGCAGGCACATAATAAAAATATAAAACATATACAGCATTATTTAGTTGAATAAAGCCACAAACATTCAACTTTTAATTGAAAGTTTGTCCTTATTTCCATGTTATTTATAATGGATATTCTGAATGGCATGTATTTAAAAATGTCTAAGGATTAGGAGTTAGTCAAGCTTTCTACCTGGAGGTGCAAAATAGGCAAAGCCTGACATTTCAGACATGGGTGCATCTAATAACCTTAATTATAGTTGACTGCATTCCTCTCAGGTTAGTCAGGACAAAGCTCCTGCTAATGTTCCTGTTGTTTATTTTGCAAACAGCATTTTTTTTACAAGCAGTTTATGTGAAAAGATCTCTTGAAAGGTACGTTCTAGGTAGATTTACATGAACACTGTCTCTCACATGTTATCTTAAACTTGGCTGAGGTGGCGTAGGCAGAAGATGACGAGTTCCGGTCTACTGTATGACACTGACCTGAAACAGTGGTCCGATGTCCACATCAAAGCCCAGGTCTGCAAACCCTGTGGCGATGACTTTAGCTCCTCTGTCGTGGCCATCCTGCCCCATCTTTGCCACCAGCAGTCGAGGGTTCCTGCCCTCATGCTTCTTAAAATCGGCAACTCTGTGATTTGGAAAATAAAAATTTTCAAAACTTTTTCTATGCCTGAAATGCAAGATATCGTCTGTCTCTCATGACAGTCCAGCTACTGTTGAGCTTTGCTACGTTCTACCTGTTGTGGGTCAGGGTGATCTCTTCATGCTCCCCGAACTCGCTGCGGTAAGCCCCGCTCACCATCCTGGTGCTGGCCTTGTGTTCACCAAACACCTTCTTCATGGCATCAATTATTTCTCCAACAGAACATCTGTAGAAAGGAGTAGACAGCCTCTTCCTCAATAGGTTTTCACATTCCAGTTATAAATAATGCAGTGCAGTCATTTATTCTATGCCAGTTCATTTAAACACATCCATTATTAACTAAAGACTCACATTTTTGCCATTGCAGACTTTCAAATTTTATTGTAGCATGTTTGATTATCTGTGTGAGATACTGCAGTGCACTGTTAGTATCTGTGTCACATGGTACAAAGACAATCTGTAGTCTAAAATGTCACTATTGCAAAGATAGTAATAAAACATTTATGTAAATTCAGGGTATTTTGTAAGTCTACCTCTGAAATGCAAATTACTCAGTCATTTGTGATCATATGAAATACATACAGCATATTATATTGAGATAAAATATCATGGGATGTTTAGATCCCAGTCAGCAAGCGGGCTCTTCACACACTACTCAAACAGGCCAGTGTCATTTCAGTCTAAAACAATGATGAAAAGCCATGCGACACATTTAGTATTTGTAGCTAAACTGATGCAGACATAAGAGTGATCATTGTAGTCAGAGGCTTTAGTGGCTGTGTGAGGTTTGACCTGGCTCGGGCTGCCTCCACAGCCAGGGCTAACAGGTTGCCCTCCCTGGTTCGGGCACACTCCTCGATGGCTGCCAGGCACTTCTTCGCTGCCTCAGGGTCCCGACTTTCTTTCACCTAAAACAATGGAGGTGACATGACCTAAACATGGCATACAGAGTTTTTAATCTGCCCTGCTGACACCATGTACTATACTACTGATTCTCAGATTCTCTACATACACTGTATGTGTACCTGGAAGGTATCAACAAAAGAAATTACATTTTAAATATGTTTAAAAAATCCCATCATAAAAAACTATATAAATACCTTACAACTGTCTACAGCAGGGGTCGGCAACGTCCGGCCCATGGGCCAATCTTGGCCCACCCTGAAATATTTTTGGCCCGCCGGATGAATTTTGAAACGTTATATTTATATAGCATGAGTCTGAGTCACACGAACAGCGTCCACCCTTTATTATTATAACAACTTAATTATTATGATGCATTTGTTTTTATGACCAGTGACCACTGCTTCATCTGGAGGACTTTTGAAGCGGGATTCAACGTGATCCTAAAAGACAGAAACACAGAACGGCCAATATGAGCACTAAAAAAAACGGATCGATAACTACAACATTTTAAAGACTCAGTGGGAAAGCTGGTATTTCCCTTCTTTCACCATTTTCTGTATGTCTGGTGTTAGAGATGTCATTTTAATGTGCAGGGCATTCTGCAAGTTTTTATGCATCACTCGGTTTCTCTCCTGCGTCTTTATGGCATTCATTGACGAGAAAGTTGCCTCACAGGTGTAGGTGGAAGGAAACATAGTAAGCACATAAAAAGCAAGCTTCTTGAGTGTGCTGTAATCCTCAGAGCACGCGAGCCAGAATGCACACACAGACTCAAGCGCCTTGTAGTGCAGTGCTGACCAGGGAGGATGCTTGGAAATCAATTCACTCCATTTCAAACGTTGCCTCATCTACAGATGGCAAGGTTTTCTTCACCATTGAAGAGAATGTTGGACTTGGCGGGGCCCCGAGAGGATCACACACAAAAGCAATGAGGTCTTTTGAGATGGAGTAGTCTTCCAACCTGCCCATGAAGTTTTTCTGCAGCAGTTTGATGAAGTCCAGCATCAGCTCTGTCACTTCTCCCGGCGCATGTGCCTTTAATGCCAGAAAATGTAGGAGTCTCTTGGATGCCAGGTCGGTTTCAAACAACTGTAGCTTCTTAATGAATGACTACAACTTTTCTACCATGTCAACAATAACTTTGTCTCGACCCTGCAGCTGCAGATTGAGCTGGTTTAGATGGTCAAATGCATCAGCCAAAAAAGCTACAGTGGCCATGAACTTGTTGTTTTCCAGACGCGCAAGGTGATCAGCTGCTGTCACATTGTTTTTCGTCGTAAGGAAAGCCTTGACTTCACTCAGCAGCGCACACATGCGTTTTAAGGCATTTCCTTTGCTTAGCCAGCGCACATCATTGTGCAGCAGCAGATCATCATGTGTAGCCTCTTCTGACTCAGCCACAAGTTGTCGGAAAAGACGGTGTTGTGTGCTTGATGTCCCTCTGATATAATTAATGATGCGCATCACTTTATCCATGGTTTCCTTTATCTCACCGCTCAGCTTTGCACAGAGGACGCTCTGAGGGATGATGCAGTGCAGTGCTTGTATGTGAGGGACAACCTCCTTCAACCTGCTCACCAAACCTCTGTGCTTTCCCACCATAGAAGGAGCACCATCTGTCACAACGAGATTAATTTTCTCAAATGATAATGCATGCTGCTTAAACAGCTCCTCAAGTTTGCCAAATATTATGTTGCCGGTGGTGTGGCCTTCTAATGGGATAAGAGAGAGCAGCTCTTCCTTAAATGACTTGCCATCACAGTATCTTAACATAAACACACATTTGGGCCACATCGGTGCTGTCTGTACTCTCATCAATAGCGAGGGAATAATACTCAGCTTTATGGAGTGCCTTAACTATATCTGCCTCGGTGCATCTATACGAGAGGGGCACCTGTTTCACTGAGGCTATCAGACCTTCCATGGATTTATCAGTACACAGCTCCTGCAAAACGGACAGCATCACCTCCTTAAACACCTCTGCATCAGTGAATGGCCTCCCATGGCGACAGATGTCCACTGCAAATAAACATCTACAACCTCGATTAGAAACCATACAAAAATTTCTCCTTATAATACCAGTACTGGACGGAGTATCAGACCAGTGCATGGACAGGTGGCCGT